TATATAATAAAATAAAAAATTGCATAGGCATACATAGTTCGAGCTGAAATCAATATGTTCAATTGAACTTATGACAGAATCTGTCCTAGATCTACCTTTGAATAAATAAATGTCGATTGGAGCCTACTTGAGAGAAAAGGTGCATTGCTTCTTGAATCACATCCTTATAATTGCCTATTGTAAATTAGGTAAAGATACAAATGTGAGAGATTGTCTCGTCATATAAAATCATATCATAGAAGCTAAAAGTCCTCGAAACAGTCTGAGAGTTCCCAATAAGATGAAGAGCTAATTACCAAGTCGTATAGGAAACAGAAATTTGGATCAAAATTGACTAAGGAGAGGCAGAGACTTAAACTCGTGACTGAACTCATAGACGAAGAGAATTCTTTAGGAATAGAAGTTTTCCAAATTTGCAATACATTGCCAGACTTCGATGCGATGATTTCTTTGGCGGACAATGTCTCAGTTTTTAGTTTTTTACTTATGAAAGGTAATGTTGAGAACCATATTCATTGAACTGTTTCACCATAGCCAGAAAATTTAGGAGCCCTTAGATCTTAGGATTTTAAGGTTCTAGCAAATCAATCTATCAGCAAGTGTTTCTTTTGCAACAACACATTATAAAATATATAAAAAGACAGGCCAAAATCGACTGTACACATCGTTTGCGCATAGGCTTTGCTTAATGCTACTTTCATTGGAGTAATTTATGATTGATATCATGGAATCGTCCATGTTCTAGATTTTTCAGTGCACAATTGCATGTAGGGTGTTGCTCACCCTTTATAATTTTTAGCATACATGGTAGAGTGGTCTATATTTGTAACTGGAAAATCATTTAACCAAATTGTATCTATGTAAAGATGAGTGAGGCCAAAGGAGAGGAAAAACTGGTAAAAACCCTTCTGTTTCCCATGCACCAGTTTTACTCTCTGACGTGTTAATTGAGGAAATAAGACTTTGAACAGAAACCCCTTTCACATATGCAAGAAATGTTAAGGAATCTATCAAATAGTCAATGTTAAAAGAATAACATATCACTAGACTGCCTTTATTTTGTCAAAATAGAATACACTCAGTAGTAATTTTGTTTTAAAAAAATTGATAACCAAAACTTTAAGGAGCTGCGTCCCATTTAAACATTTCTAAGGCTGTGTGTGTGTTGCGTTCCTGTTGGTTTTGGAGGGTAAGGAGGAACGTATCCTTTCTGCTACTTTCTCCCCATCTTATTCCTGTTGTTTCAGAAGGTTAGGATGACGAGAAGGGGAGCGAGGGGTTGAAACATTGAACAAAGTAGCTCAGAGGCATAGCAAATGATGCAACATTTGAAGAGGTAACCAAGTCTTTATTGGTTGCCTTAAATTACTCCAATTGACTATCTTACTCATTTCGAGGAATCAACAGCCTTAGATCTATCTATGTAGTGCACTGAAATGGCTTATTGGCAGCTCCTACTAATCAACAAAACAGCAACTCATCAGCTCTAATGACATCAAATTCTGTGTGAATCTTGAGGTATAAGCAACTCATCCAAATCATCAACAATGACCTGTTAGTATTTTGACAGCAATTTTAGTTGTCAGAGGACGTTTTCTCATATTAGAAAAGGGTGAAAGAAGAGGATTACCTCGAAGTTGTTACCATCAAAGGTGTACTCCACATACAATTGCTTAGGTTCTCCAGGACAAGGATCACAAAAGCCCATAATTCCTGATTTCTTTACACCCTCGTGTAGCTACATATACACAATGAGACATTCAATATCTAATACGTAAAAGGTAAAACCATCTTGAATAGAAAAGATATTGGCAAGTAGTTGCAGAAGTGTCTGCAAAAATGCGTTCATTTGTAATTATTTTCATTTCATCAGTCTCTGGAATACGTCAATTATGCTCGTTGCTATGCCCAGAGAACCCAAGATGAATCCTGGAACAAACCTATGTGTTAACCACATAAAGCACCAAAGTATGGGCTAATCCTCCTGATATACAATAGATGTGTGTGTATCTTCCAGAGAAACACAAATTCTTGCAAGTCCCAGTACTTGTTCCAGCCAAATAAACAACCACAAAAGGAGCACCAAGAAGATATTGTGGCATACTATGATCGTATACCATATTATCCATGTTATTCCCCTTTTTCCTCCTATTATGACATCTAACCCACCATGTCCTTAGCCTTCTCTTAGCAACTGCAGTTGTTCTAATTCTCTCTTATTTATGACCTCCAAATAGCTTCTCATGTTCAAACAGAAGACCAATTAAAGCAAGTAATCTTGAACTCAAAAACGTGTTTTATGGCACCAAATATGAAACAAGGAGTCCTTAACACTGATCAGAACAAAGAAACCTATTCAGAATGGTGGAAGTAAGAACGCACCTTTAGTTGCGCGGACTCGCTCACAAGAAAATTTAAAGGTAGAGTGACATCAATGATTTGTGAAGCCACTTCATCTTTTACTTCCTCTTTTTGACTTCTGTTCTTCAGAGCTTTACGGCTACCATAAAGTGCTTTTGTAACAACCAGTCCACCTGTTTCTAGTTGTCTACTTCTTTTCCTACTGGCCACATTTTGCAATAGTTGCTGAGCTTTCTTAGCTGCTGCCCTTGCCTCCCGGACCTAAAACATGTAGTGCATTAGGAGCAAAGCTGGGTAGAGGTTGAGTGCACATTTGACCATCTATTATAAGCCCAATGGGAAGTACCATGAGAATGCTTTTACAGACAGAATAGTACACACGCCATATCATAGCAGCAGAGGCAGCGTACAGGTACATACAAACAGCATTGACACTTAGAAACTACTAAAGTAGCAAAAACAAAATTGTGGATCATCGAATATCCTAAGGCGAAATGGGCCAAAATAGAGCAAAATTGATTGAGAGGATTCATGAGCCGACCCCAACTAGCTTGCGTCTGATGCCTGGTTGTTTATCAAACATCCCAAGGTCTAACAGCCAAGAACTAGAGACACTATTCATAGAATTCACGCAGCAGCAATGCCAGTTACCCAAACTATTTATAATTACCTGGCCAAGAGTTTTTTCCATATTCTCTGATGCCTTCTGCTTTTCCCGCTTAAGATAAAAAGGTTTCACAACAAATCTCTGAAAATATAGAAGGGAATAACAGTCAAAAAGAGACGGATATAATTCCTGGGAAATGAGCTATTAAGAAAATAAGCAAGTTATAAAATATAATCAACAGAAGACATTTCCCATATTTTGACAACACAAGGTCCCATAACAATTCAGAACAATTATGAAGGAAAAGATTTCACAAAGAGAAAGATGTTGGAAGTCATGGAAAATGAGCAATTATGAAACTATGCAACTTATAATTTTGAGGAGACATTTCCTCATATTGCCACCACAAGGCCCCCCAACAACTCAGAATCAAAAGTAATTAGTAAAGCAAAACATATTTCAAATATCTAGGGAAGGAAATAATAGATTGCAATGGGCCACCAAGCGGAAAATCTTTAACATGGGTTGCAAGACTAAAAGGAAAATCAACTCTTGGGTCACCAAATTAAAAAAAAATTAAATGTTCTAGCAAAAAGATATTCATTATGGATAGTGCTATGTTGATCAGAAGAACTATTTCTATCTCAACCAAATTAAGTATTGATTCAATAACAATTTGCAGCAACACATGGAAAGACAGTACTATAGTAAACTCCCCCATAGAACAATTGAGAACCATCATGTGGTAGTTTAGCTGTTGACGGGAATGAAATTTTCAAATGCACGTGTGAAGCAGAACACAAACCTTCAGTACAAAATACAGTGAAGTCGGAATCACAAATGCTCCAGTGGCAAAAAAAGGGTTCAACTGTCTAGAAAGCAATACCTGCATCCATCGAGATGTAGCAAAATATGAAAATAATTAATAGCCTGAACAACGATGATCTTGAGTGAGACAGATACTATTTAGATAAAAGTTAATCTGTTTCAGCCAAATGCCAATTTATTGGAAGGAACTTAGAATCTTCACTTACCTGAGCAAAAGTCAATTTTCTGGGACACTACTGGAAGAAAGTACGTTAAATAGAGTGGGACAGATAAAAGAATACAGATTATGGAGTCGCTCTAAAATGTCATTCCGCAAGCTTCTTAGTGCAAGACAGCAAGAAACAATAAAGAAAAACTGTTATTTTAGGACTCATTTTATTGGCGTTTGGATTAATAGAAGTGAAGTACTAGAGAGCCTCTCAATTTTTGTCAAAGGAATCAAGGGGACTCAATGCCGTTCAGTATTTTAAGAGGTGGAGGTGCGAGGCATGGCCTTTTATCTAATACGGAGTAATCCGTAAGTTCCGTGGCACAGGGTGATATTTAATCTTTAATATTTTATAGATTAATAAATAAGCATAAATTACTAAAAGTTGTAAAAACTATAAATAACATTAAAATCGTAGAAGAAGATTGCAGAAAAAGATATAGGAATGATTAATTTAAATATCTTATCATATAAAAATTGGAGAGTCAATCAGCTTTCCTCTTTTTAGTTAAAGAATTGCAAAAAGCCCTTCTTTATCAAAATGTTACATTTTTGTTATAAGAAATTCTGGATTATATGTACGAAGGATGGAGGCCCAACGCCAAATTTTTAAAAATTATCAACTAAGCCCAACATCCGATTAGCTTTTCTAATCAGATGCCTTGGAAGGACCCAACATCCCATTAGCTGGAGAGCCTAAAACTGAATCTCCAGAATGTTCATAGTGCCTGTCTCTTGGCTTCATACATTTTCATTTTTCCCTTTCCTTTTTATTTTTAAACGGACTTCATTTCATGCTTTGCCTCTAGTCAAGAAAGTGGCTTCTCTCTGCCACTCGGCCCTCGCCGGCATCGCCACTGGTCAGTTCCATCGCTTCCACTCGCATCGCTCATTTCAGCTGCTGCCACTCCCACCGATCATGGCTTCCACATCGTCCTTATGGTATTCCTTTTATGAGCAATAAGGTAAGGTTGTATTTTATATTTTATCTCTGAAATTGGTTTTGAATGATAATTGGGAGGCAGACAATGTCTTGTATGGATCTAGTTCCTCTTCTTCCCCAAGTTCGTTTTCTTTACTTGGAAGCTTGTAATTTCAAAACCCAGGTTCGCCGCACCCATGACGCGCTAGGGCGTCTGGCTGCAGCCCTCAGTGTTCAAGCAAATGCCCTGATACTAGCGCTCGCTACTACCATTCAAGGATGCCTCACCCAGAGGCGCACCGTAGGAACCGCACAGAAAATGTTTTTTAATCACCAAGGTAGATTAATGCTTTAATTATTTTCGCCACGGTTTACGGGATTGAATGTGAAAAACGAAATTAGCTTTGAAATTGAGACAAGAAAAACTTTTCGCCTTTGTGTACCAAAGAATTTTCAACTCTTCTTTACAAGTTACAATACTAGCAAGTACCTTCCAACTGGCCACTTATGGTTGCTACTTTTTGATAGTTAGACCAAACTGGATTAGATCCCACTTTTTGAATACAATTAACCTAATTTTGGTGAAACCATCAGAATGAACATACTTAATATCCAATTAAAATTATAGACCATACTTAACACATACTTACTTAAGTTCCCTAAAAATAATTCTAGCTCTGGCAGTTGTTTTCTCAAAAAAAAAAAAGGGGGAGAGAGAGAGAGAGAGAGAGAACTAGCTCCCGCAGTTGTAAGACTAATATTCATTAGTTCAATAGGTTGAGGTACTATATTCTTAAAATAAGAGATTACACATTAGTTTAGGACTTCTATATCATTATTAGACTCCTGATCATCTTGGAAGTTCGTGATTAAAAGGCAGCTGTTGATGCAACAAATTTCCGGGAATATGTAGCCAAAACACGAACACATGAGCATGTCCACGCACAAGCGAAAGGAAAAGGAAAAAGAAAGAAAAAGATAAAGGCATGAAACCAAAATAAGGCACGTTGGCACAAGTATGAGACTACTTACGGGAACAATCAACTTTTGGCCCCCACGATGTAACTCGAACTTCCAAAAGATCCCCTATGAACAAAAAGTGGATGTAAGGTGTAAAGCACGAAAACATGCTAACGATCTTGCATTAATGACTCTAAGGAATGCTAAAACATGTCTAATAAAAGCAAAGGAAGAAGTAGGCCCCACTCCTCTTTTCTTGGGGGAGGGGAAAGGAGTTACTTTGTCAATATTTACCTGAATTCCTACAGTGTACAGCATCCGAACGGTACTGAATTCAGATATTTTTCTTCCACCGCCCAATTCAAGTTCAAGTGCAGTACTGCAATATAATATAGAATTTCGTGAGAAAAGGCTACCAATTGAATTACGAAATTTGTGCATGAAGATAAACTCAGTAACCTAGATTATCGTGCTTTAGGCTTAACTGAAGATACCCTTCTCCAAAACATATAAATAACAAGCTGAACTACTATGCAAGAAAATGTGGTACCTGGTTCAATCTACAACAGAAAAGATAAGGAATTCAAGTGGTTCAAATACACTAGTGGAGTTATTTGTTTCCAAGATACTAGGAGGGTTACTCTTCCCAGAAATTTGTAACAAATTTTACCTAATACCTGAACAAATGTCATGGGTAAATAAGGTAAATGATCAAGAAGATAATGTGAAATAGCTTATATAACCAGCTTTTTATAGAAATCTGATTATAAACTGAGGATGTAGCAATATCTAATGCAAGTTATGTATTGACGTACTCATGCTAATAATCAATTGACCACTAGGCCTTGGTCATCACCATTACCATGTGTATTAGCAAATCATGGTCCAACTAAAAACTAGGATCCGAGAAATTTAATCATTCAACAAAATAAGTCAGAAACAGCACATTGCAACATATCAAGAGTACACACGCATTCACTAGCTTATTCAGACCACAGATTGTGTAGTTTATTTTAGCAATAAGTATTAAATGTCCAAGGCTTAGAACCTTGAACTTTAACACGGTAATGGCGATAAGATGAATAATATGCAAAGAAGTGAGGAATTATTAACATCAACGAACCTTCCGATTCTGCCTGCAATACGCCCATGAGATTTTGTGGAAAAGCGGTGGGTGTAATGAGCAGTTGCACCAAATGACCCTGTCCCTATCTACAGTACAATGGATTGCAAATTATATATTGATATAACAATGCTCAAAGTCTCTCAAATTGGTAAGGTTAAGATGCTGCCCAGTAGAATGCAGGTTAATGACTTAATGCTGCTTAATATCCTTCGAACCCAATGCACTTGTCATGTTAAATATATTAAAAGCAGGAAGAAGGTCTCTTCCAACAGAACAAGTTGTAAGTATGTTATATTTGTATTATATGCACAGATAGACACATAGTTCCAGATATGTTTTGAGCAGCCCTACATAAATAGCATTCAAATTTCTTTAGATTCAAATAAGTTTCCAATGGCCCAACATAAATAGCATTCTGATTTCTTCTCACGCGAAAGAAAGAAAGTTGAGGATGGAACATGAGGGGGTCACATAGCCTAATACTATCATTGCCAACTTCTTCTAATCCTGCTAGTATGCTTGTCAGAATGTTGTGGAACATCTATAGCCCTAATACAACCTAATGAAAGTAGGAGAGAGTGGAAGAATCAAAATCTTATTCTTCAAGAAGAAACCAAGCAAAAGCCTTGATAGAACTCCACCAGCTTGTCCAGTTTGGGAAGTTGGAGTTTTTTTTTTCTTTTTATAAAGGAACAACCCACTGTAAGGGAATACCTCAAGGGGCACCAATCTATCAAAGTTTACCTCCCAGATTTTGGCAGCAGAATATTCGAGAACTACTTAAAATACAAGTACCATTATTTTTATTTATTAAACAAATAACATTTACTTCTGTCACTTTTGTATAGATTTTTTTTTTCAAAACGATACTAAACCAAACAATTGATATTAAAAGAAACTTAGCAACCTAAATAACAATTTTAATCTAATTCAACAATTTGGTCAGGTTTTTGGGAAATAACCAAGTAATTATAAGCCTTATAGGGAACCCAAAACCAACTCTATACAAATTATGCTCTGTAGTCTACTAAAGCTGGATATACAATCAACTGGTGCATGTTCTGCTTGTCCAGAAAAAGGTAAATTGTGTGCCAAGTAAATTAACCATTAGGTGATCCTAATTCCATATCAACAGGTAGAAGATACAAATTCATCTGTTTTTTATCAAAACAAAAAAAATAGAGTACTATATTCATGTGGATTTAAAACCACAAATATTCAATATCTCTGCATCCCTCATAGTCAGACCAAAGAAAGTGTCAGCCAGTAATTAATCAATTGTAAAATAAACAATTAAGACATGGGCAAGTCTTAGGTAGGAACGAAAATTCTTAAATTCACTTTTGTAAGAAAATGTCATCAAAAGATAAAAATTCTTTACAGCTAGAGCAGAAAAGTGGAACCTTGATTTCTCCAGAAGCAGACCTTTTCTGCTCCTTCTTCTGCCATCCAACAGCTATAGATGACTCTGGACCTAATGAAAGCTGTATCTGGAAAAAAAATGAAAGGGGAGAAGGAAAAAATAAAATATTATTGATAAGTTAAAAGGAATGAGTGAATATTAGTAATGTGAGATGCACTAAAAGCATGCCTCAACCTCTAAACAGAGTTTTTTCCAGAATTCTATGGTCCAAGAGATCATCAATTCTGACTAAAGTTGCAGGCACGAAACATAAAGAATAGTAGCAATTATGACATAAGATTTTTTTAAGCTTCTCAATGTACCAAACTCAAAAATAGCTTACATTTCCATGAGCGGTGTCAGAGAGCTGGCGAGTCCATGTGTTGGAGAGATTAACAGAACCATCTCTTAAGGACATGGCAAGACCCATTGTTGCCGTAGAGTGAGTAGATATATGACTGATGAGACAAAGAACAAGTTAATCTTTGGCTAAGAAATTTGAGATTTGCAGCATATAGCAAAATTGATCATCCTACCGAGTTGTCTGTACTCCTAGTAATGCTCTCAAACCCATCGACCCCATAAACTCTATCGAAGAAACTGATGACATTTGATGCCTAAAAACAACAGATGCAGCACCACCACCAGCATTCCCATTAACCGCCAGATTTCCACCAATGGCAACAGCATTGTGTTTGGACATCTGGGACTGGACTTCACTAGCCATAGCCATCCTGGCAATCATGCCCAGAAACATGTACGGTAAGATGAGGTCATGAAAGAGGCATTGCTGAATAATCATATAGAAGACAAAAACTTGCACTTGCTGAATGATCAACATCTGTATCGAGATCAGGAGCAGAATACGGAGCCTCAGTTAACTACTTTTTCGGGGGCCCTAACTTACTCTTATATGCTGCTCTAAGGGTGTGGAGCAGTAAAACAATGAAATGCCTTATTTTACCTTATTGATATATCATGCACGCCCTAAAATTAGGCAAATGGAAGATGCAAATAACTCAAGCATTTGTAATTATGATTTCCAGTAATGTACTGAAATGGCCCGACCAAGAAACGAAGTTCGCCGCAAAATCCAACCATATGGAAAATGATGATATTCTGAAGACTTATTGATTGTAATTTGTATATTCTAAAGTCTTTTTTTTATAATCGTGGTGTCCAGGCCAGCTTGCGCCAGCATCGGGTACCAGGTAACTCTATCCACCAAGGCTTGGATAGATCAATGTTGTCAAAGGCTTATCTGAGGCGCGCTTAAGCCCCGAAGCTCAAAAAAGCTCAGGGTATGCGTTTCGCCTCACTTAGGTTGCGCTTTAGTGTAGGCAAGGCACTAAGGCCCACACCTCATAGCCAATAAGTTCTATATTGAATAGAGTATTACAAAACAATAAATATAATTGGTTAAAAGATATTATTAATATTTAAGGGAATCATTATTAATGAACGTGTTACTTTTTTTCTTGCATTACATATTCGTTGCACTTTTTTTAACTAAAGCTCACACTTTAATTGCGCTTTGCTTAAAGCCTTGATAGACCAGGAGCACTTTTTAACACTTTTCGCTTTTGACAACACTGGGATAGATGGGAAGAATTCACCTAGTGCTTTTGTCTCCGCTGGGATTTGAACCCGAGACCTCATGGTTCTCAATCCACTTCATTGACCACTAGGCCACACCCTTGGTTGCTATTCTGAAATCTTTTTTTGTAGTTGAAATATAATGCAATAACATAGAAAGACTTGCTTATTACATTTTTTATGTAAGTACTTGCAATCACATGTTGAAGCTACTAAAATCATATTGCTAACTTTGCCTAAACAAGTTTACGCATTAGTCTTGCAATATCTTACTATACAATAACCTTCGATGCTTCTAACCAAAAATGACAGTGGTGTTAGCACCTCAATTCATGTTCGTCCAGAGCAGCTAGACTGTGCAGTCTGTAAGTCTACAGGCTGCTCGGGTCATTACTTCTGTTGACGATGGTGTAATGTATAAAGTTACTAAAGAACACATATAATGGGAAGCAGGTCACAACAACCGAGACCTCTTGAGGAGGTAGCCAGAAGGGGTCAAGGAAAACAATAAGCACCAAACTGTTACAAAAGCATGCAGAGCGACTCTGAGTCGCTCGTGTATGTTTTTTGATGGAAAAAAAAGCATACACGAGAGCAACTTAATAAGTGTGGATTTTAACCACTTATTAGTACCTTCTTGCTTTAGTTTTTAGTCCAAAAGTAGTGATTTTTATTTCTGAATCTAATGAAAATGTGTGAATTGCAGGTGTGCTAGAAAATGTGAGCTCAACGAAGAAATCTAACTCAAAGAGGAGATGTTCCATCTCAAACAGTCAAGAAGAGAAGTGCAAAGAATAGTGAGGTCCGCAAAATTCCATTTGCGACCGCAAAAGCAAATACGGCCCGCAGAAAATGATATGCGGCCGCAGAAGAATCTCTGAAGCTTCAGAGGATTTTGGCAGCAGCGCGGTCCGCACACCAAAAAGTGCGGTCGCACTTGAAGTTCGCACTGTCAAGACTGAGAGATCAGAGAAGATGCAATAGAACAAGTCTGAAGCCTCCTCAAAGTGCGATCCGCAGCAAAATTGTGCGACCGCAGAAGCTTGTGTGCGGCCGCAGCATTTCTTCAACTGAAAGCACCTGCAAGAGCAAAATCCCAAAGTGCGGACCGCAGACGTAATTGTGTGGTCGCAGAACCCTTCGAATGGAATTTTTGTTAGAGAATTTCATAGAACTATAAATAGACGAGGAACACTTTTTTAGGGCAACTTTTGTACTATAGCAGCAGCTAGCGGTTATATTTAGCCATTTTGGGCAATTTGGAGCAACAATTAGAGAAAACCCATTAATTTTCCACTTAAATTCTAGTTTAATATCTTCAATTACTTCTTCTTTTCATTTTTATGTATCAATTATTATGAGTAGCTAGATTTTATCTAAGGTTGTGATCCAACCCTAGTGTATAAAACTTATGGGTATTTCATATTAGTGTTTGCTATTGATTGGGTGGATATTATTTAGCCTTGTTTATGCTTTATACTTAAAATAAATGGTTGCAAACATTGATGCATGCCTATTTGACTTCATTCTTACTTGAGAAAGAGGGATTTAATCTAGCAAGACTTGGCTAACAAAAAATTGAACTAATTGAAGTTTTGATTAAAGGATTTGAATTAGAGATCGGGATAATCAAACTTGGACTCATATTCAATTGTTTATATTGCTACCCATTTGGTCTTGAGAAAGCCAATTTGGGCATAATCACTATTTAACCGAGAAGTATTGAGTGGGTACTTAAGCATTGAGAGTCATAACAAACCTCGATCTACCAAGCAAGCATAGATTTACTCTACCCATTAGGTTTACACCTAGGTGAAGGTTACAACCCTACGCTTTTCCCTTATTTGATAAAAACATTTCAATCATTATTTGATCACTAGTTAGTTAAATCTCTTAGCAGTTAATTTAGATAACAGCTACCCACTTTTGTTTGGAAGATAAATTTGATTATTTCGAATTTCTTTTCTTGAGTGTTTACCTTAACACCACTTCAAACTTCATGTGGATTCGACCCCGACTCGCATTGAGTTTTATTATTGTAACAACCGTTTCATACTCCTTAATTGGGTGTGAATTGGACGTGATCACGACTCTTGTGTATGCTCAATGGTCTTTACCTTTTTTGAACCAACCTTAGCTAGTTATAGGGGCTTATTACAAAGATTCCTCAAGATCCCTGTTTATGATATATTCCGCTTCATATTACAATTCTCATAACTGGTTATGCTTCACTACAATGTCATAGAAGCACACTGAAGCTAACAAAATTTAAAGCATAGCTCATTAGCTTCAAATCCGCAAGCATTTCTGGTGGCAGCTTAGAAACATTCTTATGCAAGTTGTCCCCCACGCCAAGGATAACTCAAATACTTAAAAGGAATTTACTTATCAACAAGTTACTTAACGGAACATGCTTGCATATTTATCTAGGATTACGGACAAAGGAATTCTAAACGCGCGCAATGTGATAGATGTAATATTTGGCTAATGCCATGCCATCGGATTATGAAGTACCTAGTCACATATATCTGCATCGAATCTACAAAAGCAATTACGACATATAAGTACAGATGGTTACCCTTTCATAATGCCATCACCCTCTAAAAACTGTGGCAATGACAGATTTGCCAAAATTGACCCAGAAGGTCGGAGATGTGCCGCAACCTTTTGAAGTTCCTTCTGACGACGTAGTTTTTCAAGTTCTTCCTTGATCTCTTCAGCTTTGTTCAGCTTAGTACCAAGTTCCAAACCAGAATTAACCCCTTCCATACCATATATGTCATATATTTGTCTTTTATTCTCATCCGACAAAATTTCATAAGCTTCACATATTCGTTGAAAATTCTCTGTTGCAATTTCCTTCATCTGAAACAGGACAAATATGCCACGATTCATTCACAACTCGACCTTCATAAGAAGAAAATCAAGAAAACCAAACAAGTTTCATCTACACTTGGGAAATTATCTAATTTCTTGTAATAATGTTCACGAAATTTCAAATATAGATTTTCTTGACCTAACTGCGAGCTATCGCATAGAGAAAAGTTGAATAGGGAAGAGAGAGGGAAAAAGAATAAATATGCCAATTGCAATGCAAATTACCCGGACGAAATAGAGCAAAAGCAAACACAGCTATACTTTTCCACCAATATCAAACTATCAAAGGCAAAAACAGAACTAATCGCAGTTCTGGAACATATCAATCAAACAACTACTCCTCAATCGCAAGCTAGTTCGAGTTGACTACATGAACCCAATGTACACATTCCATCTAATCAGAGACCCATTTCATTCTAATACTAGCAATTCTCTAAAACTAGTCCAGTAACCATTTCCTTCCTATATAGTCCAGGAAATATAGGCAAATTACAAGTACTCTAAAACTATTCAGACTTATTTAATTCCAATAATAAACAATTCAATCCTCTAAGAAGTTACTATCTTTTAACTCTAAATACACAAATTAAGGGTTCACAGAAACTAGTATAGTGGTACCGAAATATATAGTGAAAATAAATACTACCTCGGCAGCTTGATATTTATCAGGGTGATATATTTGAGCCCATTGACGATAAGCTTTTCTGATTTCTTCATCCGAAGCTTCTGGAGATATGTGTAGCAATGCATATAGCTCCCTGTTTTGCGGCCCGCTTTCCTCTTCTCTCATATTAACTTTAGGGTTTATAAGAAAATTCGATTTTGTGTTTGTGTGTGTGTGTGTGTGTGTGTGTGTGTGTGTAAGGTGACAAAATGGATGCTACTGTTGAGGATTAGCTAAAACCCTTGTTTAGTTTCGTGGGGGTGGGGTTACAGAGTCGCCATTTCAGAAAATCTTGCTTGCTGCTCAAGAACATTGACGACTTACCACTGACTTCCTTTAGATTCCTTACAATTTTTCTTTCTGTTATTTTTTATTTTATTTTTTTATAAAAATATTTAATTGGTTGAATTTTAAACTTTTTAATATTATTTTAATAACATTTTTTGGTCCCTCGCTTATTGGTAAATTTTTATTTTAGTCCTTGTGATATCTGTCTGAGCATATTTAACTTTTAATTGAAATATGCAATTTTTTATCCTTTGCTTGTGAATATTCATAAATTCACCATATTTATTAATTGTTCTACCGCTTAATTATTCATGTGTTATATTAAGCTTATATTGTTAGTAGTTTAACAGTAATATAGTACTAAAAATATTCCAAATATATATATGCTACAAAACACATTGTAATTAATGAAAGGTTAGATATGTTGAGTCATACATCACAAGGATCAAAATCAAAATTTACCAATAATTGAGGGACCAAAAGTGCTATTATTAGATGTTGTTTTGAATAATATGAGTTTTTGAATTTTGTACAATTTTAAAAAAATAATAATAATAATGTACATGTCTTTGCAATACTAACCTCAACCAAACGGTATTTGCAAAAACTAAAATAAACACTTATTAGGAATATCGAATAAAATCCTTTTACGATAAGTATCACACATGGAGATTGATTTGGTTTGTTACAAACATTTCTTTCGGCCCATGCTATTATGAAATGTAATCATAAAACTAATTACAAGTTGGATTTTTTTCTTCTTATATAATATTTGAAACTTATTTATCAAAATTTATCTAATTTTATATATTACTCGTCCTAAACAAAGATTACTTACGAATTATATACGATCTATTATTAGTGCCTTAAATTAGGGGATTCAATTATACCATTTTTCTTTTTTTTTTCTCCTCTCCTCTTTTCTTATTTTTCTCCCGTCTTAAATTGCTTGTAAAATTCAAAGAAGTTTAAAAAGATCTTGTCTGCTCTGTCCATTGCCAACTTTCTGTGCTAATCCTAAAATCGATTTACATTGGAAGGATATTGAATCAAATATAGTGGTCTCACTGGACATATATAGTGGTCTCAATATTTGTCTAATTTTGTATATTACTCGTCCTAAACAAGGATTGCTTACGAATTATATACGATCTATTATTAGTGCCTTAAATTAGGGGATTCAATTATACCATTTTCCTATTTTTTTTTCTCCTCTCCTCTTTCCTTATTTTTCTTCCGTCTTAAATTGCTTGTAAAATTCAAATAAGTTTAAAAAGATCTTGCCTGCTCCGTCCATTGCCAACTTTCTGTGCTAATCCTAAAATCGATTTACATTGGAAGGATATTGAATCAAANACTTGTGTTTACACATCTCAAACTACTTCCTTAACCATGATCAACATACCGTTTAATGTAGTAAATCAATGTGGTTTGACATGCACCGACTGACATAGATGTTTTCCTCGACTATGTATTCATATACACTTTTATGTTATACATATGCTTGCATCCTTGAGCTAGAAAATTAGCTATTTAACTGTATACATGTCTTATAATGTTACCAAGTCATTGCAGGATCTGCAGCATTAATATGCTATAGATAGGACATATATGTATTAGTATTTCTAACAAGAATCTATGCTATCCAGTTAATTTCTCACACAAAATTCAAATCTCACATAAAACTCAATTTATCCGAAATGCGACGATGGCGCTTTTAATGTGAAATTCAAAATTTCTCCACCAAATCATTCGGTTCTCATCAATATTCAAGGTTTTCAGTTCAAACAAATATAAATTAGTGCACACCAGTCGATTTGGAATTCATTCTCTATCTTTCTTTCCTTAATAAATCAATTGAGAAAAGACACAATGTATAGTACATCAACATACAGATTAAAAATAAATTTGATACAAAGTTAATGCAAATTTGAACATCTACAACAATATACATAGTAAAAATAAAATTTCATACAATAAATTATATAGTATACAATGTTCGTACATTATTTCTATACAGTTAAATACAACTACAACATCATACAACTTAAAAACAAATTTTATACAATATGTCTTTTGTAAATTTTTTGTATATGATTTGTATATATTTTGTAAGTGGTGCGTTCTTCTTCCTCTCTTAAAATAATTTTGATACATATCAACAACGTTATGTAAAAAAATAGTATTTTTAACTTAAATACAAATTTCATACAATGATTCATACATTATACGACTATTTTTCAACGTTCATACAATATTCAAATAAAAATATATATATATAACTACAACAGAATACAATTACATACAATTATAATACAATTTTACTACAACTTCGTAAGTATATTGTACGTCATGTGTTCTTCTTTTCTTCTTCTTCTTCTTCTTCTTCGAGTTTCAATCTGCAATTCAACCAAAATTAAGTCAAATCTTCACCAAACACCCTCAAAATTGAGATATAAACTCCAAATAATATTTTTAATTATTTGCAACAACACCCAATCCAAATAAATAATGATTTTTAAAAACTCAAATTCGATTTCAAAGCTTCAAAGCTTTTTAATGGGTGTCAATGGTGGAGAGTCAAACACCTTCAAAATTTATTGATTGACAATTTCAATTTGAACACCAATTGTGCAACATGAAAGGAAATTGCTGAGTTAAAACTATATAGTAAAACGGTTGAAATACATTGATAAATTCCATTAAAAATATATACAACATGAAAGGATAGAAAGTAGAGAACATCAGAGAAAGAAAAAATGGGGAAAGAACAGAGAATGAGAGATAAAGAGACAGATAGAGACAGAGAGATAGAGAGCATGAGAGAGAGAACAAGGATGGAAAATAACTGATTCCATATTCAATTTCTAATTTAAATGAATACTCATTTAAAACTAATTGGTATATAATTGGTAAATTATATATGGTCATGTAATTAAGTTAAAACTTGATTAGGGAGGGTAATAAAGTTTTATATGTAGTATAGGAAGGTAAAAATCCTTACAAATTTCATGTTACTTAAAGCCAACAAAACTTGTTTCTTATGGAGTTAAATGAATGATGCAAGTATATAATTTGCTACCTAACAGGTAAGAGGTCTAAGGTATCATGGATTTCACTTATAAATTATCCCTTGATTGAATTGTTCCTTTACTTTGGAATGGTATTTCACATGGACCTTCCCATTACTTCTTTGGGATGTTTACCAATTACTTTTTCTTAAGTACCGTAGGGAATATAATAGCTAATGTTAATGAGGGAGTGCACCGACCCGCATATTTTTCGCCCAAATTTGCCGCCTAAAGGGCTACAAAATGAGCCAAACTTGGCTGCCAAAGACCAGAAGGTCTTTGCACATGGGGGCAACAATCCGACAGGCTGTCCGGGCCCTCCTAGGGGCCACATTCTGCCAGCAAAGTCACATGCAGCACAACTGGGCAGGACCACAGTCTGCCAGGACAATCATGGAAGCAACATGCTGCCAGCAAAGGCATGTGTTGCACAACTAGGTAGGTCCACATCTTGTCTGGATGAACATAGGAGCAACTGCCTGCCAGCAAGAACTGGGGCACAGCAGCTGGACAAGTCAATTGGCACATGGGCTGCCAACACTTTCCTGGAAATCACTTGATGCCAGCACAAAGCAGTGCACCACAGCTGGACGGGTCCACAGCCAGCCTAGCTGCCTGTGGACATTTTCTGTATTTATAGGCATACTTAGGTCTTGTTAGAAGGCAGATCTCATTACTTGTATTTCCTTCTTCTGTATATGAATTAAACCCCGAAAATTGGCCTTGGCCTCCCATCTTTGTGTGTCTTTCATTTCGTTATCCTTCCAACCTTTGAGTTTGTGTGATTGGCTTGGTCCAAAGCACGATATTGTGCTTGCTGTTGTTTAGGGATGAAGGAAGAGTAGTAAGTCAGGCTATCTTGCTGCCCTCACGGAAGTCCTAGAAAACGATTCTGTGACAACTAGTATCAGAGCAAAGGTAATCGACCATGGCAACTGATAGAGATAACGTCAATTTAGACAACATCCGTGGCAGAGATGAGACACCAACAAAACGACAGAAACCAAAGAATAGAGGAACGAGCAAAACGCAAGATCCCTCCATAGCCTTAACAATTGAGGCGCCAGTTCTTGAGCTGCCCCCGCAACAGGTTAGTCGTGGCGAAGATTGTGAGGCTTCTGCCTCAAATCACTTAAGCGTGAGAATGGGTCTTACTGAAGCTATCTTAGATGCTCTAAACCAACACATGGGAGAAGTTGAACACAACTTCCGCTCGCTTGAGTCTACTACTCTAGATGGACTTGTTGAAGTCAAAAAGACGATAGATCAAGCAATTTCTGAGCACTAGGAAGGACTGACCAACCTTGAGCTTAAGCTGACCGAGGCTGTATCGGCATTGCATGGGGAAATTGAAGCCCTAAAGCAACAACTGAAGGCAGTAGAGTTAGCTGGTGGCACTGGTAATGTGACAGTGCGGGAAACCAAGATCGAGGGCCCAAAACCGAATGAGTTTAACGGCGAATGAGACGCTCAAGAAGTAGAGAACTTCATCTGGAAGATGGAAGACTACTTTGAGCACCTTTGTATCGTTGATGAGGCTACCAAGATTCGGGCAGCGACGATGTATCTTGCCGACACTGCTATACTCTGGTGGAGAAGGAAGAAAGCCGACATAGAGAAAGGAACTTGCTCCATCAAGAGCTGGGATCAGTTCAAGTTCGAACTCAAGTGCCAGTTCTACCCCCAAAACGTTGTCAATGAGGAATGTAGGAAGTTGAGAGAGCTCAGGCAAACAACTTCCATAAGCGAGTACGTGAAGAATTTCACTAAACTCATTCTGCAGATTCCAAACTTAGCAAGCGGTGATTTGTTATTCACTTTCATCGATGGCCTTCAAGACTGGGCAAGACAGGAATTGCAACCACGTCAAGTCCAAGACATCGATGAAGCTATTATGGTGGCTGAGTCCTTAAATGATTATAGGACAGAAGCCACAAAGGCAAGGGACACCAACTTCCAACTGGATGGAGATCAAGGATATTGGGACAAGGGCAAGCAAGTT